CATTTAACTCTGGACACGACATAGTCCAGTCTTTTTACAACCATTTCTAATTATTATATCCAAAATATTTTTATATCACTTGTTGGAATTTCTAAGCAGTACTCCAGGGACTCATGTTCAACTTACAAACATTTCCACTTCCAAAGATATGAAGTCCTATAACTCAGAATCCCATGGGAGAATGGTGGGATTTTCAGTCCCACCAACTATCCCACGTTTCTCCCATGGGAGTAAAAAATGTCAGATGGGATGTTTTATCCCACTGGGATTTTTTTTCCCACAAATTTGTTCAAAAGGGATAAGCCCCACGGATATTGACAATCAAACAATTTCTCCCATACATTGAGAAGCATGAAATATATCCCATACAGTATGACAATGACAAATTTCTCATCATAATATACATAACATAAATAATATGTAGAAAATATGCCAACAATAACAATGTACTGGAGAAAATAATTGTCAATATCCGTGGGATTTATCTCATTTAAACAAATTTATGGGAGAAAAAAATCCCCCACGAGAAAACATCCCATCTGACATTTTTTCTACCATGGGAGAAACGTGGGATAGTTGGTGGGACTGAAAATCCCACCATTCTACCTATTCCCACTTTTTAAAAATCTCAATTCCACCTATTCCCACTTGCAAATAACAATGAGCAAGCTCACATACCCCACGCTCCCCAAAAACTCAAAGTGCTGAAAATCCCGGAAAAAACAGGAATCGGAATTTCCCGGCAAATATGCACATCTACACATTGTTTCCTAAATATCTGCAAAGTTTGATGAAATTCTGTGCAGCGATTTTTATGAAGAGTTGCACTGACAAACTGTTCATCGCTATATTCAAGATATCCCCAAAAATCTAAGTTGAAAAGTGCCGAAATTCCCAGAAAAATAAAGGATTCGGAATTTTCTGGTAATATGCACATCTACACATTGTGTCCTAAATATCTACAAAGTTACGAAATTCTGTGCAGCGGGTAATGAGGAGTTGCGGTGACAAAAAAAAAACAGGGCTGATAAAAATCCCATTTGGTATAAAACATCCCATCTGATATTTTTTCTCCCATGGGAGAATGATGGGATAGTTGGTGGGATTCAAAATCCCACATTCTCCCATGGGATTCTGAGTTTTTAGGACTCCATATCTTTAGAAGTTGAGATGTTTTTTAGCTCAACATAAGACCCTGGGATACTGCTAAGAAATCCCACCAAGTGATACAAAAATATTTTTGATATCGCAATGAGAAATGGTAGTAATGGGGCTATGTCGTGTCCAGAGTTAAATGTCGTACTGTTAAAGACAGTCATGTTTTTGTAATGGATTTAGGCCTTTACCTCAAACTCATTTACATTTTTGTGTGTGTGACTTGGATGGAAGGAAAAATGATCAAGATATTATTTGCATAGTTTTTCATTAAACTTGAAAGCCAATCTAGAAAGTGTTTGATCCAGGTATGGCCAAGGGGAGAAAAAATAAAGCCTGGTCAAGGATTGTACACAAAAAGTTTGTTGACTTTTACCTATAATCTCTAAAAATTAGAAAGAACTTATGCTCTGTATTATTTTATGCAAAGAGATTTTCTGTCTTTGACCTTACACATTTAAAATATTGGTTCATTGTCACTACACACCCTCTACCAGAGAGTACTCTGTGAATAAAGCATGAGCCCAAAAAGAGCCAAGGGGAGAAAAAATGTGCTCTAAATAAGGATTTTACACGAGGAGGTTATTTGACCTTGTCCTTTCCTTGAAAAGATTGATCCTTCAACTTCTAGGTAAATTTAGATAAAATGTTAGCCAAAAGAGAAAGATGTACCCTCTTTCGTTCACATATTTAAAGGTCATCAGTAAGTAGGGCGGTCAATTTTCATAAGGGAGTTGAATGTAAACATGGTACTCCTACGCACATGAAAAGTTCTAAGTCTTCCAATTTACGTTTTTATTTTTTTTAAAAAGAGGATTACATTGGTGTACACAAATCAGTGATTAGTTGCATGCAAAAAATTAGAGAAAATTTGGATGTTTAATTTTTTGTCAATTTTCCGGGGGTCAAATGTCACATCATCTTTTTTCCAAAAAGAGGGGTAGTCAGGCATTGTCAGGTAATCATGCGAGGACCCCCACATCTCTCGTTATATACTGAATAGTTTTTTTTTTCAAAAAAAATGTTTTGACCCCTTACATTTTCAATTCTATCAAATTCTTCCTCACTGAATTTTTAACGGCATGAACAGATAAATCAAAGTCTAAACATAAACTGATTTTTTTCTCAAATTGTTTAAGAAGGAATCGTGTAAGACCACCGGTAATTACAAAAATAAGATAAAGAATTTTCTACGTATTTTGCCTCCATTTTTCCATCAAATATTGTAATTTTTTAACTTTTGATTTTTACTTCCTTACACTGTAATTAGGAATTTAGCTGATTAATATGCATGTGGCAGGGGTGCGTTGTTTACATCGATTTCTCTTATACTTTGGACCACACACCCATTTTGCAAGCCCATTTTTATATCATGTTACCCGGCGTCTGTCTGTCTGTCCGTCTGTCCCACCTTGTATCTCAAGAAATGTAAAAGATATAGACTTGATATTTTGCACATTTATTGCTTGGCACTGTGGCATAAATTTTTACGTAAATTGCCATGGTTACCGACCTCGTGACCCTTGACCTTGAGTTGCAATGCATTGTGGGCTACTACATGTACAAGTACTCAGTTGTGATGAAAATAAAGGGCAATTTGAATTGTCACTTTGTTTCAATTCTTTTTTGAGAATTATGAAATAATATTTAAAATGATGTATAATCTTTCATTTCCATGCTCACGTTTACAAAATTTGCTTTCTGAAGTCTTGTATCGACGTATAATACATCGGCCTAAACCATTTTTCAAAGAGACGTAGGTGCAATCGTGTCGATAAAGCATTTCGAGTTTTTTTTCACGTGATATAGGTGTTCATAGCTTTAGACAGCAGTACATGGTGCACAATTAGTATTTAACAGCTCTTTGTTATCAAAATGTTTTATGTACATGCAAACGTCAATTTAAAAGCTTTTATGCGGTATTAGAAGCAACTGCTAATCATCTAAAACAACTCCAATATTAAATGTGAGAATGGAGCAGTGTCTTTAAAATACCCGGTATAAATCTTTCAACTTTGGCCTTTCAATTGAACAGAAGAACAGGTGTGACGAAGACATCGTCACGTGTTGTAAATTGCCTTCCATATAAGGTAGTGTACTCGACCTGATAGAGCTACACTATTTGTCAATCTACGCGATCCTTGTTGTGGGATCCCGATCCCAATGTATTTTCAGAATATTTAAATATCAGTTTGTGTGGTCACTGAATATCATAGTTTAAAAGAATATTATTATGAGCTCAAACACATGTATAAATATTAATTATGAACACCCGCCCCTCAAAATTCTTAAGTTCAATTAAATTGTCCGGGGTATTTTTTGTAAAGTAGGTCAAAAGTCAATTTCAAGTGAATTGTAACGTTAGTATTTTTCATAATATTTTTTAACAATCGATCAGTACACATGCTAAATAGCATAGAATTACCCCCCTTAAATGTTAAATACGAGGGGTGATCAAAAAGTTCGCGAACTAATTAAATTACTTCCAATTAAGAATTGATATAGGGTTTCAGTGTTGAAAATGTTTCAAAGTTGTCCTCTCCAATTTGAATGCGCATCTGCAATCATTCTGTCCATGCGCGGATCACGTGATATAAGCTGTCATGTGACATGCTCTTTTGCGTTCTGTCACAGAAGCTTAAAATTTTTTCCGGCTCTAATATTTCTTACCATGCAAGTTATTTTTTTTACAACAGAAACGGTCCATTTGTCAGAAATGGCCTAATCTCAGCAATCGTATGGGTGGATAATGATACCCTAATGCAGAATGAGCATGGTGACCATCAAAACCCAAGTCATCTGTCTTTTGAGCCTCGTTTAATTCATGTGGGTTAAGCATGGGTACCTTCAATTTATCATATCTGATATGTTTAAAGTCTAAAGTAAACGATATTTTAAGGATTTAATAATTATATTATTGTAAAGATATTTATCTATTTTTCAAACTGTAACTTGGCGATCTCTCATATCAAATTGCGAAACAAAAGACACGTCTCTTTCCCAGTTTGCTTTCAATGGGCAACAGAACAAACATTTTTGAACATTTCCCTTCCTTCATTTATACAATCAATCCAATTTGTGACAAAACTTCTGGCTTGAGTGTTGTCTTCATAAACCGTGTACAAATTGTTATAAACTTCTGCAAAGGGATTTCCAAGATATACGTTTAACTTTACAGCCGTTCATTTCTCGAATACGACTGAGTCAACCATTTTTTGTCATAAGTGATCTACCTTATGACGTCATTTTCACATGTGACGTCACAAGCACGAGGCAAAACGTTCCATTACCTATGCTTTTTATAGAACATTTGTCTGACTCTATGTGTGCCAAATTTCATTCTGATCTGAATTGTGGTTTTATAAATATAAAGATCTTTTAAAGAACTTTTTGATCACCCCTCGTATATGCTGTATATTGGCACTTGGAACTTTTTAGTAAAGTAAATCAAAGGACATAGGTCAAGGGTATTGAGGTCGGTATCCATGGCAATTTACAAATGCCATGATATAAGCAATAAATGTGCAAAATATTAAGTCCACATCTTTACAGTTTTGAGATATAAGGTGTGATAGACGGACAGATAGACGGACGTACAGACAGACAGACGCCAGGTAAAGCGATCACGTGGTGCCGCTTGCTCCACTGTCTACAAAAAATTTACACCCAATAGTCTCCATTGTAGATGAAATGGTAACTTCAAACACTCACCACAATGACCTGAAAAAAAGAATATTTTTGTTTATATTATAATTTTTAAAACTTGGTATATTAATGTGTCACTGACAGTGATATTAAATCCTTGACTTACTTTGGAATGAGAGAGTTAATGAAGCCCCGGGGGAGGGAACATCTGTTGCTGTTTGCTGTGGATGACAGTGCTGGGGATACTGCGTTATATGAACCAAGTCTGCAGATACCAATTCTATGTACTAAATTAAACAAAGATAAAAATAGAAATTAAATAATGCTTTCTAACCTGAAAAAAAAAAACAAAATTAAAATTATTTTGGTCTTTTACATAACTTAGGGGACTGGCGGCTTTCAGATATATCAAGTTATGAAATAGTTTTCCTTCACTCGCGCGAAAATAAATAATGTGATTTTCATTCGTACTTTAATTTAAAAGATGAAGATATCAAATAGCAATTGATCTAAAAAAAATCCATCAACAATACAAATCTGACAAAAACATTTTAAAATGAATTTTTGCTTCCTTTTGTCACGTTTTCCGGTTTGTTTCGTTTGGCGCCTTGTATATAGTATATAAAGATTAACGACATGGAAATCAATCCAGCTATATGGCAGACTTATAATACAATGGTTATCTGTATCTCACTGTCCTAAAAAATGGGTAAACTCTGGTCACAAATAACCAAAGATTCAAAACAGCTGGCTAACATCTAGGATCACTTGAAAGTTGTACGCAAAATAGTACATGTTAAAATTAATGTAACATTTAATCATTTAAAAAGCAAATGGAATGAATGCAAGAAAACAAACACATGAAGGATATGGAGATTACGCAAACAGTATTGGATATCAAAGTCCAAAAAAACAATACAAAATAGGAGCATAGCAATCACGGACCTCTGAAACACCAGAGGGGGATCAGGTGCCATGGAGGATTGAACATCCCCTGCTGACCGGTCACACCCGCCGTGTGCTCCTTGTCATGATCGGGAAATAACGGAAAAATCCGTCGTCAATTCAGTGTATGAATAATGGACTAACAATTAGTATCAAAAACGTCAGTCAGCATTTGACTCAATGATAAATTGTATTTGCTGACAAGGTCATCGACCATAGAACTTAGGAAATGATGACTTTAAACGAGACTGTTTATATTCTTGTTTCATCAACTTGCTTGTCAATAATTTACCTCGTTTCAGGAATTCTTCATACGTAGAGCATGCTCTTGCGTATCGAATCAACTGAGATATATACACTCCGTATGCAGGTGATGAAGGCATATTGCTGCATAAGTAAGGGAAGTTGACGATAGAAAAGTTAAAGTCATTAAGTTTATCATATAGCTGGGTTGTTAGATTATCATTAACGTCTTTTTCAAGTAAAATATCCAAGTATGAAACAGATGTGTCAAACTTCGTGGTATCTTTTATCTCAAGCTCACCAGGATAAATCGTTTCGACGTAGGAATTGAAATCACCATTATTAATTGATGATACGTCGTCGATATATGTAAAGGTCGAGTTGAAGGCCACAGCAAGTGTTTTCTTCTTTTTACGCATAAGAGTTTACAAAATTCTGCTTCATATGAATACAAAAATAGGTCTAATAACGGAGCCCAATTGGTACCCATGGGAATTCCAATAGATTGTTGGAACACCTGGTCTCCAACAAACAAATATATATTGGTAATCAGAAACTCAAGTTTAAGTATCTTTTTGATGTCAACTTCAGAGTACTTGTGTGTGCAATCAGAATGTGTTTTTACAAAATAATTTCGGTAATGACCAATGACAAGGTAAGTAAATTGACGAGTTCCATTTCTATTGTAAAAGCAGCTGTCAATGATACCAAAAAGGCTGGACTTTCATTTATCGTGAGGGAATGATTGCATATAAAGTTGGAAAGTCGTAAATTTTTAAGCTGTTGATTTTGGTAAAATCTTGGGATTTCAAATTGTCCAAAAGTTCTTTGGAATTTTTGAGTACCCACATCTGATTCACACCACTTCTTGAATATATTGTAGCACAATACTCTTGAAGTTTTTCCTTCACTACTGTCAATATCTTAGTGAGGAGTGACGAAAGAGGCTTGGTTGAACATTTACTGGAACCCGCAATGTATCTTTGTTTGTAAGGATTTTTATGAAGTTTCGGAATCTAAATAAATATACATATATACATGGGGTAGTTCAAATTCATTTTGGCTCTGTGGAATATTAAAAATATTTAAAACTTGCATCTGTTGCGACCACTATTGAAATAATTATATCAATAGTGGTTGAGAGTGCATTTCAATAACAAACATAGATAATAACCACTATTGAAATACGACCACTTTTGAAATAATTATTTCAATGGTGGGTGAGGGCGCATTTCAATAACAAACATAAATAGTAACCACTATTGAAATACGACCATTATTGAAATAATTATTTCAATAGTGGGTGAGAGTACATTTGAATATAATAACCATAGGTTTAAACCACTATTGAAATACGACCTCTACTGAAGTGGGTGAGAGTGCATTTCAATATGGTAACCATAGGCTTCAACCACTATTGAAATACTACCAGTATTGAAAGAAAAGTTTCACCGCGTCAGCAACTTTTGAAATAATTATTTCAATATAAATTGGATTCATTGTTCAAAGCACTATTGAAATCAATAATTATTTCAATAGTGGTTGCAACATACATCTAATTCGTTTTTGTGACTACATAATTCTTTAAGCATGTTTTTATTCAAATGTATTAAAATCCAAATGAATAAATGCGAAATAAATTATTAAAAACATCGAATTTTTAAAGGTGAAATATCCGTCTGCTCCACATTTCACCATTTTACAATGTATTTTAAGAATTCCAATCATTGATTTTCATCAACAACAACAGCATTAAATTCAAATGGAAAATAGTTTGAAGTATGAAGTGTTGCTTGCTTTTTGAGAAATGAATAATATGTCAAATTATGATGTAAAGAAAATATGATATAATAAATAGAAAGATAAATTATTTTTTATCTCACAATAAAATTAGAAATATGAGGTGTATATAAAATAATATTTACTCTCGTACCTATCCAGTTCTCATTAGAAAACATACCAAAGCGTCGCTTTTTAAATCAGAATATCAAATTGTTTTCTATGCTTGTAAAATAATAAGCATCCATCAACAAGAGTTATCTTTCCAATATCGCCCTTGAAATTTTTTTTAGTGAAACAAAATATTAATTAAATGTATATAAACAATCCTGCATCTGAAATTGCTATAACAATTAAATGACATACTTTAAGAGATAGAAATATCTCAATTTACACCGTTTGAAGGAACTGGGTATAAATGTTTTAGGTAAACTATTATAAATAATTAATAAAAATATTGGCAATAGAAACTAGAAATCCACGTCTGAACGATTGAACAAATTTGATTGAGTTGACTATAAGACAGTCTTCACGAATGGAATCTATTAAATCTGATATGACAATCCATTGGCTTTCATAGGAAATTGTCATCAGAAAGTTATCTCTCTATTCAGAGGGATATTACACCTTAAAATTGGTGCCACTATCACATTGATTTATCCAATTTCAATAAGAGCATTTTGCTGAACTGCAAATAATAATTTGCATTGCTTATATCAAACATATACCGATTCAGAATTGCTTTTGTTTTTTTACTACTAGTATTTTCAATGATAATGTCAATAATCTGCTAATTTTTTATACAAGTCAATATTAAATGACGGAAAAAATTAATCTTATTTGACAACTAAGAGATATTTGATGTAGTGATTTAGAATAAAGTAGCCACAAAAAGGTTTAAGATTAATAATATAGACAATCCTTATTCGGTAAATTATTATTTTAATGATAAAAGATTAAAAAAAAAAAGAAAAATATGGCAATATGTCTTATTAAAAAAACATATATATAGTGATATTGGGGAAAAAAACTTTAATACTTACAATGCATGAAAATCGAAAAGTGCTATTTTCGTTTGTTGCTGAGTCGGCATTGTATAGCGTTGTGTAATACGAAGATGGCGTAATATTGATAGAAAAAATGCAATGTAAACGTCCTTCAGCTGAAAACAAAATTTAGAATATGAAAGTTCCTCCAAATGGCTGAATACATATTAAAGGTTTTTATTAATCTTAACCCTCTCTACACCAGTGAATTTTTTTTTTTGGACACTGAGAAAAATATATTGCATAAAGGTGTTAATATTAAGCTTATCTATCTAATATTCGCTTTATGTATGTGGCATTTACCCCCAGGAAAAATAACAAACACGACACAGTATTAGTGAATAGAAACGACTGTTGTGTACTTCCAAGGGGCGAGTACATGTAAATAACATGATCAAATAATTTATCTTGGCCTTTTGAATTGTAAAGAATACTTGAATTTATTACAAATTGTGTAATATACTGTGAACTTCTATTTTTTAGAATTCAAATCTGAGGGCAGATCACTCTAACAGCAAAAAATGCCAGAGAATCTGAACTCTTTAGTGTGCAGTGAAGAGAGGGTTCCTTACTACATTTGCTGATCGATTTCAATTAGATTCAGAAAATATATAGCTTGCGTTTGTTTGATAATTTTAAAATTTTAAAATCAAAACCACACTGCATTTCATCGTAAATGGCTTTCACAGTATATGTTTAATATGTTATATTGTTTTGTATTTTTGATATCACTTAAGGTAGTCCGATCCTCAGGTTTATAAAATTAGCAGTTAAGTAATCAAATATCTCTGAATCCACAAAGTTATGTAAATTTATCCACAGTATTTCGTTAAAGTTAGATTAAAGATAATCATACTATATAGGGAAAATTGTCAAATCTCCAAATTTGTTTGCATAAAAAGCGAATTGTAATATCAGCAATGCATTTTCTAAATGCAAATTGATGAACAAATATATTTTAGGTTAAAGAAAGATAGGTATCCAGGCATTCAGAGAAATTGTCATGTTTTTATACATATTTGGTATTTTTTGTCTTCTATTTCCGTCATGTATTCTATCATACATAGTGTAAAAGGCTTTTGACACCACAAATCACGTCTAACATGTATTTCATATCATGCTAATAAGCATTGGTATCTAAGGCTGAATTCAAGAAAATCTTATTTCTCTAAAACTGTACTATTTTTTCTCCTTTTATAGGGTACACATGTAAATTTTTATAAGACCTTTCTTAAGACTTCCAAAAACCTTGAATCTTATAAAGATGAAAAAAAAATGAAAATTAAGCTTCATTTTGATGCATTTCAAATCAAATATTAATGTTTTGAGTTGTCCTTTCTGGCTGAGGATCGGATATCCTTAAATGAATATGGCGTGTCCCTGGAAATGTTTGGGCAGTTGTGTATATCAATCACAGCTTGTTATTATATACAATGCTTACTTGAAAACATAATATCATTGGCACATTTGGTGTAATCAAAGGTAAAAGTAGTGTTTTGACTACAGGCATCAAGGGAGGAATTCGACTGGCAAATGCTAGTCCCTTGTGTATCTTTGTAGGTGTAGCTCCAGTTACCCCTGGTTTCTGTGGGACATTCTTCTAATTCAGAAAGGATACTTCCTATATATAATGAAAAGACTCAATTTACTGCTGTGCAAGATAATCATCTTTGCTAGACAGGGGTGTCTGATACGCTAGCCTACTCTCCTAATAATTGGTGCTGTGAAAAGACGAGATTGTTTTCGTCACGTAATCTCGAAAGAACAAAGTACGGTATTAGCAGTAATTTGTATGGAACGCCATCAGTGCTTCATAGCATACAACTATGCATTCATTATGTCAATTTATCATGTGTGAACTTATCTTTATGTTATGTCAACTTTTTATGAGATGATGTAAAAATATCTTAACATCATGTTAATACTGCATAACAAGAAGTAAATACATCCTTTCATTCTGTCAGCTCTTTATATATAACTTGAAGTAAAAAGTTCATTATGTGCAGTAAAAATATCGTATTTGTGTCAAAACTTTATTATATACGTGAAATGAATGCTTCTTCACATTATTTTATTTTTTTTTATATGTGGGGTCAAAATTGCATTACGTCAAGTAAATTTTATTTTACACGTGTTCTATAATTAAACTTATCATTGCGTCAAAAGCCCATTCCTTTTTGGGTGTGTATACATATTTCTATTATATCAAAGCATTATTACGTGATGTTAATGCATCTGTATTTTACGCCGAGGACATCATGATGTAAGGTGAACAAATCTTACTTTTATGTCAGCGATTTATTACGTGGTGTAAAATAAATTATAACATAATGTGAACATATCTTTATAATGTATCAAACTTTATTACATGTTCTCAAAACTCCATTCCTTGATGTGGATATATAATTACTTTATGTCAACTCTTTCTTATGTGATTTACAAATATCTTTATATTGTGTTAACTCTTTATGATGTTCATTCCAAAAGTTCAGTACGTGATGTAAGAATACATTTACATATTGTATATCTAGTATGATGAATGTTGATGTTTTAACGACTGGGAGGGGGTCCTGATTGATGAGGACGAATTACAGGCACATAATATCAGCCCCCTCTTTTTCCAGACATAACTTGAAAATGTAATGTTCATTGACAGTCCAGCCCCATCCCCACTTTTGTTGAAGTATAGTCCACTAAGGGCAATGTAAATTTTTTTTTGAAAAAAAAAATTAGGATTGATCGAGGTTGGACCCTCCAACCCCAATCCCCCGAAATGGGATTTTCGGGCTAAGACAATTTTTTTTAATCTTGTCAAGTTTTCTCGGGTATATATTTTTTTCTTGGCTGACCTCCCTCTTTAAAAAACGATGCTACGCCACTGGAATTTGTCTTTTTTTTCCAACCATTCCAGGATCAGAATTCTATTACAAAAAATACCAGTCCCTCATCTAAATCAATTGACCATGCCTTAGTAAGAATGCATGGGCACATATCAGTGGCGGATATTGGAATCTTGAACAGGGAAGGGGGCGTTATGGTTGAAACCAAGGGGTGAAAGCGGAGAAGCATTCAGGCTTTAGGAGTTTTATTTAAGAAATAAGAAATTTCATAAAGACCGAAGGGCTTTATGGAAGATTTGATCATGTGCCAACCCGTTTTACATCCCAATAAAACTCAAAAAATGATACCTTATTACTTATATTTACATTTGTGACATATTCATACTTTATATTTGCATGATTGTGACTTTTAACGTGTGAAATGCATTATTTTTCAAACCCAACGGCATGTATGTAATCCACTGAACGCGCGTCGACCCTTTATGACGTCACTGAGAAATTACATCAAAATTTATCCATACGCACATCTATGACCTCTTGACCCCGTACCTGTATTTATACAGTTATAAATACGCTTGCTTTCAGTAGTGTTATATAAAGGAAAACATTTGCAAATGTAATATATAAAAAAAGCTTCCGACTTAATTCAGCTAAACTTAAACTAATGCAATGCCCTACACAGTAAAAGCAATTTAATAATTTTATGTATATTTTGGTCACTAAACATGGTAAGGCGGGATCTCCCCCTACCCAACAGTGCACGTGTGCTATACGAGGCCAACTTTTTTTCAATGCCAACTTCTTTCAGTACCTATTTCTTTAGCATACAATACTACTTTCCCTTATATCACTTTATTGTAGTAAAACGTGAGGGGAGGGGGGACAGCCTTTCAATGAACATTTTCAATAGTAAAAGTTATATTACGTTATGTTACCTAATGTAATACAATGTTGATATTATATATATATAATATATTTACATCATGTAAATTGATGTTGGTATGGTTTTTTTTCACATAATGTAAATAAAAATTAACAATACTTAAAGATAAGATTTCCTTAACCAATGGCTTTTTCAAATTCATGAAATAGAGATTTGACGAAATGTAAAGAGGTATTCACGTTATGCATGAATTTTAGATATCATTTAATGGTTAGTGACATAATGTACCTATACTTTTGTACGATCGGGTAGTGATGACATTCAATAGTATACCTAACGCCATGGATGAGTTGACACAGTTGTGTCCTTTTGCCTTGAGGTACGTAAGATTAGTCTTCATGTATAACACATCTTTACATCACATAATGATCAATCTCACGTAATACTGAGTTTACAAAATACGACTATATATTTCCATAAGGTAAAAATCTTTTGACTAAATGTCACAAATAGTTAACGCAATTTAAAAGAAAACTGGCGCAATGCAATTTGTAATCAACCTGGCGTAATAATATTATAATGAATTGAAATAATATAACTATATATTTTATTGAATGTAAAATGCTTTTTACTATCAAGAATGTCATAATGAGATGACATTGTGTACTGTAAATATGATGCAAATGGAATGGTAGTGTGTGTAAATGTCATAAAAAGTTGACATAATGTAATGAAAGGTTTACACAATGCAATAGTAGTGTGAGTAAATGTCATAAAGAGTTGACTTAAAGTAATAGAAGGTTGACACAATGCAATTAGTAGTGTGAGTAAATGTCATCAAGAGTTGACATAATGCAATTGTTGTGTTCTGCTATAAGGCAGTGACGGCGTTCCATAAATTTGCCGCAAAATTCTCAATATCTTAAACTTTAATTTCTTTTTCGTCTTTTGATATTGAGCTTTGAAGTTAGTAAGATGCAAACTAAATGCCAAAGGTTAAAAATTGCGTAATTTTTCATTATGACGTCACCAATACGCGCTAAACATGGAATGTTTGTTAATATTCGTTAAAAATAATGTAAAATAAGCGACCTTTCCTAAAATTAGACCCTTTCACATGCAACAACCAATTTTATAATCCGCATGTAATTCATTGACATATCTTCCATTCATATGATACAGTCAAAATTGTATTAGCTGTCGCTTGTGCTCAATATGAATTTTGGGAAAATTCAATATGAAAAACGACATTTTAACAAACCTATTCACTTAATATCGATGTTCATGACATAAATTTGACGCATTAACGGGTACCGACCCTCTGTTAAGACAGATAACTTTCAAAGTACAAAATATGAATGCTACTCAGAGTTTTCTTAATCAGAGTTTCCTAATTGAGAAATCTGAGTAGTCAATTCGATGAAATCTAAACATATGATGGAAGCATTACTTTCTATTTCTTTTACCAATTCCTTTGTAATTGTTTGATTACATTTTACAATAAAACATTTAAATCTAACTTCAAAAGCCTTATAAATTGAATAAGTTGCATCTTTTTAAGGACCATTTTAAAATTGGTTTAATGTTTCAAGTACTTAATACAACATTTTTGTTTGTCATTTTGTATGACATTTTTTCACATGAAGAAATATTTAGAAGAAAGATAACTCCTCCTCAAAGATGTATTTTTTTCTATAACTACATACAATATTGCGATATTCTGAGTTAGGAAGCAGCGCTTCATGATGTTTTCTAACATGATTTTAATAGGTATGATACTAAGTATTATTTTCATATACACCTCATATTTTGAATTTCATGTTGTGATAATAAATCGTTACTCTTTCTGTTCTCTCTGTTGAAATTTCTTCATTTCATGAACTGACATAAGAACCTTTCTGCAAAAATAATCAGACCTTCATACTTCAAACTATTTTCCATGTGGCTCTAATGTTATTGTTGTTTATGAAAATCAATATTACACATTTTAAATTTTCTATAGTGAAATTTATAGCAGAGGATGGGACGGTTATATATATATATATATATATATATATATATATATATATATATATATATATATATATATATATATATATATATATATATATATATATATATATATATATATATTATGTTCCATCGATAATCAGTTACAACGCACTTTGAAAAAAAAATTTCAAAGTGCGTTCAAATTGGGACCAAATCAACGCAGTCTGAAAAAATAAAATTTCTTTTCAAAGTGCGTTAATATCGACCATATTATCGCACTTTGAAAAAAAATGTGTATTGCTTGGTCAATATTCTTGCAAATCTTAGGTATGATGAACAATGATACCTTTTTGATTACTTTTCGATGATTAGGTCACTTCAGGTTGTGAAAGTGAGCAATTTTGATTTTTCCATACTTTGAAAATTCTTTCTCTCTTAAATGTTCAACTGTTCTTAATTTTTCCAGTTTGCATGCTTTTTATGTGAACTATAAAATTTACTGAAAGTTTTCAACGTCATACCAGTTATGTATTAAGGGGGCCGACTGTGGTTTTATTGTGTGAAAACTACAATAGCAAAGATCTTCATTTTTATCGCATAGCTAACCTATATTAACTTCAGTGTACATGCCAAGTTTGAGGAAAATCTACCGTCCAGGTATTTTTAAGGGACCGTCTCAAAATACAGGTACATTTACTATAGGATTATATGAGAAAATGCCGATATTTAGCACTTGAAAGCAAATTATACAAATACTACAAAAGACTTTTTGTTCAAACTATAATATTTGATGAGTAATACTATTTTGTACATCACAGGTAAGAAACACGAAATTCTACCGTCTTCTTACTAGAGGGAGCATCTCAAAATATAAAAAAAATTAACGAATTTTTCTGTT